CTGAAGAGCACGGGGCGGGGTGGGGCAGGGATGTCCCCACTTACGGAGACAGAATGAGAAAGGCTGCAAATGGTTATTCACCTCTCAGAGAGAAGCGTGATCAGGGCTGGGCCTATTTGTAAAGGCTTATGTGCATGGATTCGGTGACTCTGCGGCAGCCTGGTCACCTCAGTACTAAAAGGAGCATTCCTCTTTGCACACGCAGAAATGAATGCACAGAGAAGTTATGTAACTCGCCCAGGGTCGCACAACTTGTGAGAGCTGAGCTGGGATTTGAATCTGGGGCTCACAGCTGGGCGCATCCTACCAGCAGATTAAAAGGTAAAAATACCGGCTGAGACCTGGGGCTGTCTGGTTTCTCTGAGCCTCGGTTTCTCCATTTTTAACATGCCGCTCACAAGATCTGCCTTCCAACATCTCAGACCTGTCTTGGTCACGCATCGAGGAAAGACATGATTACCCAAGGACAGATTATTCTGGAAGCTCCTTTGCACTCCTTTAGAGACATGGGCATTTGGCTTGAACCTGTCTCTGACTGCTCTGAACTGTCCCCTCTCAGGGAGACAGAGGCTGTGTTCCCTCCTCTCTGCCCGTTCCTGTTCCCAGTGTCCAGCAGGGGGCTCTGCCTCAGGGCCAGGGGTGGCTCTGGGAGTCTTTGGGGTGGTTCTCTCCTGCAGGCTGGCCCCACGGGCTGTGATCTTGACAACCGTGTTAGCGCTGGCCACATCAGAGCTGAAATGGATCCCAGTACAGATGAGGAAACAGGCCCGCAGAGGCGAGTGGAGGTGCCCAGAGCCCTAAGCTAGTCTAGGCCAGGCTAGAACTCATGCTTCCTGACCCCACCACCACCACCCCGGTTTGGGGTGTGCTGTGTGTGCACTAGCTAGGTGCTTTGGCACACAGGGGCCCAAGGAATCCTCCTGACGAACTGAGGAGGTGGCCATCATTAAGTGCATTTCCTGAGCTGGGCAAAGCTCAGAGAGGTCCAGTCTCTTTCCTGGGGCCATAGAGCAATCAAGGGCAGAGCCAGGAGTCAAACTGGATCTGCCTGACTCCAAAGCCCACCCTCTGCATGAAGCCACGCCACCTCCATGGTGAGGGCCCCACAATCTGACAACATTGTAAGGGCCCCCTAAGCCCTTTCACAAACACCCTCAACCCATATAGCCTTGAAGCTCCCATGGGAGTTTGGGCCAGGCCCCCATATGTCACTGCCACCTAGGGTCATGCCTCCCAGCTTCACGGGAGTGTCCAGGGCCCTCTGAACCCACAGTGTGTGTGTGTGTGGGGGGGAGAGCTCAGGGTAGCCACACTTGGGGGCTTGTGCCTGGGCAGACGGTGGAGTGTCAGGCACCATCAGCCCCATCCCTCTGCTTCTTAGGCTGCTCCCAGGGTGGGGTCTCTGGGAGGCAGGCCCAGGTGGGTGGAGCCCGTATCTGCAGCATTCAGGAACTGCAGGTGCACCTGGGTCCTTACTGAAGCCTCTGTCACCACTAGTGCACCTGGCGGGCTGGCCCTGTGCAGGCTGGTCACCGCCTGCCCCTTGGGGCAGGGACATTGTGTATGGGGACTTGCATGTCTGGGCTGGCTCCGAGGGAGTGCCCCCGCTGCATCTGCATGTACGTGGAGAGGGGTGTGGATATGATGGGGCCAGGGGCCCGGTCTCGGGCTCATAGGTCCCTGTCACAGCCCAGGAACGAGGCATTTCAGCAGAGGGGTGCCGATCTCCCTCACCGGGGAGACTGAGTCATCTCATCTCAGTGGCTCTTGGCTCCAGAAAGTTCCTATTGTCTCCTAAGAGCCAGGAGCTTGGAACAGACTCCTGCCTCCCACCCCCACACCCTGCACCGAACAGTATCCTGGATGGAGTCTCCAATTAGCACGTGTATGCACACATGCGCATGACTCACACGCACAGCTGAGCAAGAAGGCAGACCACCTAGGCATGCACACCCTCGCATGCACATAACGGGCACACTTGCACACAGTTGCATGCACACACAGACACGTGCATTGCATGGAAACACACTTGGACACGTGGTACTTGTCAGCTGTGTGATCCTTTCAGGGCTTACTCATGACTCCCACTCACACACATGCTTGTCACAACATGTATGTTCGCTCAAACACACAGGAGACAGACCCAGACACACATACACAATCCATGTGCACACACTTGCATGCACACACACATTCTCTCCCAGACATCCATGAACAAAGAAGCAGGCTGATCTGGACACACATGTTCACACACATCCCGGCACTCCCACACGCACATACCTGGGTGCAGGCATGTGCATGCATAGTCTCTCTGGAGGCCCAGCCTCAGCTCCCTGGCCCCCTGGCCCCTCAGTACTGGCTAAATGGCGCTCCGAGGGAGTCCTCTGACGGCTGACAGCTGCCCGAAATCCATCACTTTAATTCAGGGCTTTTCTGCTCCTTGGAGCAAGCTGAGACGCCGTTAGTGCTGATTTATGGGGACAATCCGTCCTCCACTTTTGATTACGGTTGTTTTCCATAATTATTATAAACACTCTCTGCCTCACTTGAGATTTTCCTCCAGATTTCTCTCTCACTTCTCTCTGCTCTGTGCTAACTCAGAGTGGGCCCTGTGGGCTCCGGAAGAGAGGATGCCCTTTCAGGGAGCATCGGGGCTCCCCTCCCACACCCTGCAGCGTGGCTCGGTCCTCTGCCCTGAGGAAGCCCCGAATGCAACAGCCCCACTGAGCCTGTCTCCAGTGGACAGCAGATACTTTAGGAGGGGGAGGGCTGGTCTGGGAAAGGGTGCTGAGTCACTGGGGGAGGGTGTTGGCTGGTGCCCTGGGGTCCTGGTCCCCCTGATGCCTTTGGGGTCTTCTGGAGCTCCTCTCCTTGCCTAGTGAGGAAGACCTGAGGCCTGGCAGCACTGGGGAGATGGCCGTTACCCTAGACCCTCAGTGAGGGCCGACCCCTACTCTCTGCCCATCCAGCCCTCCCGGGAACCTGGTTCATCATAGTCCCCCTTTCTCAGAGTTCCTCACTGAGTCTTCTCCCAGAGCCCCTGAAGGCACAGGGCCCATCCTGCGGTTATTGCGCCAGGCTGCGTGAGCACAGGGGCGGGGAGGGCGGAGAGCAGGGGTGGGGGGTGGAGAGCAGGGGTGGGGGAGGACAGAGAGCAGGAGTGGGGGAGGAC